AGATGATCCGGGAGCGAACAATGAACTTGCGTACCATAAAAACGATCGGTTTTGCTGCTCCTTCATCATCTTATTGATAGTAAGCCTCGGTGTGTTGCGATTCTGAGCGGTCTTTAATCCAGTGGGTTTGAGATTTCCATCCGATCCTCTTAGGACTTCATGCGCAGAAAAAAATGCTCAAATAATGTGCGCAGCCGGCCTGTCCTGTTCACGTCGCTTACTCGCTAGTGCGTTGCCATTTCGCCGCACGCTTCCACAAAAGTTTGCACGTTATAGGCTGTACGCCAGCGGTAATAACATTAAACCTATACGCATTTTCATTTGCATTCCAACTACAATACAATCATCATCATTGACAGTGCTAGATGAATCATTTAACTAAAAATTCGACTGTGACGTAGCGCTGATCCGTTTTGGGGACCAGAAGCAGGCCGATCACGTCACTAGCATCCCATCTTCCGTCTAGCTTGAACCATGGAGTAGATCGGCGAACACGGCATTGCTGTTGCCATGCTATCCAGAGAACAGTTGCTGGCGCACGACCGAATTTAACAGGCTTCACCATAGTGAGCTTGTTACGGTTTGCTAAAATCGGTCCTGGACACGTGAGAATCTTGTCACTACACCGCATTTCAACGTGCCGATTGAGAGACGTTTCCATTCGATGTTTGGGTCAGTCGGATACGCACACAACTGTGACCTTACCTGAGAAATGGCTGACTTTCCGGAAGATTAGCATAGAACTAAAACCAGGTTTGAAAAACAGTTATTTTATTTTCTTCAACCAGACCCTGGAGACTGTTGAGTGCCTTAGTGGGCGAGGTAACATTATGGTTGCCTAAGCATCCTTTTTTCGTCCCAAAACAAAAGTGGTCTGCCGACTTTAGTTCTCCAGGATTAAGGGAATAGTCTATTTATCAACCACAAGTTTGATTCATAACTGTCCTGAGCTAGCGGTTAATATTGTGCACATTCGATTTGATCAATGGAGATGGGATCCCTGGATGGGTGCGATCACTTCGATTGGCAGCACTCGTGTTGAAAATTACCTGCAAGTTTCTATTATCATCACAGGTAAAAAGGTACATTTTAATTTTCTGCCCTGGCCTTATCGACTGAACCGGTACATAAACGGACACGTTTGCTCTAGTGAGGCAGATGATTAAGATATGCATCCCGATAAGATCTCCTTCCGAAACCAAGATGAGGATGGTTTTCTAGGTTCACTGGGTTCGTTTTATTTGTGGACAAACTCCACATCTTATCTAAAAATATTTGCAACTGTTATTTGTAGCTCAATAGTTTCAACACGCTAACAGAATTGTATTTGACTTGGAAGAATTGACTTCAACACAGGTGACAAGCTTTGACTTTCAACTCATTGTAGGCTTACCATACAGAATGAATGTTTATGGCTTTCATACATTTCCCTCCATCAATTCCACATTACAGATGTGAACGAGTGCGTGGAGGGTTTAGTGAACGGCAGTCAGGCATGTCCGGGTGAAGGCATGTCTTGTGTAAACGTACCAGGCACGTACAATTGCTCCTGCACATCCGGATTTTCGATGGCTCAAGATGGCAGCTGTGTTGGTAAGTAATATTTGTATGTATCCCATTTTTGTTAATTACAGACATCAGTGAAGGACTCATGGTTAAGTGAGCAACCACCGTACTGCGAGAATAACATTTTCTGACTATATCTTTAGCTACATCAGTACACTTAAGGGCAGTCTGAAATTGTTTCGATGAGTCCATCGTTTCGAGAAACGAAACTGCAATGAACTGTTGTGATAACTGAACTGTCACGTAACTTGGTGCTCCAAAAACTAAGAGTCATTTGGTAAACTAGACCATGCGAATGGTAGGACTCCATCTAAGTTGGACTGCATGAATCACCGAATTAGTGCAGTTGAGTCTTTCAATATTATTCGCATTGCCTGATCTTGGTGTGTCTCAGTGCTGACTGAAACACTCAAGCTGCGGTACCTAACTGAAAGTATTTCTTGAGCTTCAGGAATGATATTTTCGATCGAATTCAGCATTGATATACGCCTAACTTTGGTTTGTTCCTATCGATTTAATTCTATTATATTTGTATTGGTTTAACTATACTCCATTAAATTGGCGCTAATATTACATGGAGATTATATGAAGAAATATGATCGAAACACTGGACAAGTGTAGAATGCTGTTTCTCACTTCGGTGAGGGAAGGATCACAAAACATTGGCTTGGTTCATCTGGTTTAACTAACCGCAAATTAGCATGATGCTTGTAGGATAATTGCCCGTTTTTCTTCTCCAACATGTGTTACTTTACATTTTGAAATCAACTGAATTTCTGTTCACGGCGTATGTAGATTTGCAGTCCATAAATGGTCTTCTTTACTGTCTAATATTTCCATGGTGCACTTGATGTGACGCACTTGATGGATTCACCAGGTATCCATCACGTAAGTGAAATCAGCTTAATTGATCACTTCGTGCTCTCATTGATCAGATCTTTCCGTTCACTGTGGATGATTAGGTAAGTGACCGGAAGCATTCCGTCGATATAAATCTCTGGAAATCGAAAGTACAGTAAAATCCATATTATACAAGTTTAGTGTCTAAAATGGAAGCATTGGGTAGCATATGACACCCATGGCCTTATCATTTCCGCCCTTCCCAAACCAAGCTGCGCATTCAAACTGCTTTTGAAGAGATCAATTGTTTCGTGTAGATGGCATGTGCTGTTTTAAATAGGTCATTTTTCGTGCATATAACTTCCTCTTTTGCATTCTGGATTGAGTTTACCATCTCCTCAGATGTGGACTTCTAAGCTCCAAGTAGCTTTTGGGAGTCGGTTTCGGTTCCCACTGATGCTGATTTATTCAGCCGGTCATTTCACTATTAGTGAAAAGGTACAAGGATTTGTCTACTTCTTTATTCTTATCACACCAAATTGATTTCTCTAGTGGATAAAATAAGAAAGCTTCGGTGGAAATGTAACAAAGAAACCTGTGACAGAGACGCCATATGCAGGAGTTTGGATGTTAATCACAGTGAACCGAAACTTTTTCATGATTAGTTTCAAAAACTAAGGTCAAAATGGTGTCATCAAAAGTTCGCGGATAGCGCATGATGCCGACCGAATTATCTGGCTTTATTTAGGAAAAAGACCTCCTATAGGACTTGCACATAACCTCTGTCCTCGAGTTAGTTAATGGTTAGTGCGCACTGGATGCTTTCTGGCAGGGCCAGCTGCATTCAGCAAACACTCGCATTTACACATGAATTTAGTTTTGACAGAAGACAGAAGAAGAATCTAGCGAAGTATCTCGTTTGTGACGGTCCCCTCCATGGTACATGTTATTTATCATCTGCACGTTTGTTTGCAGCAGAATGCATACCACACAGTTGGGTGTGCCTTCTCTGAGGATGAGGGTTAAGGCATAGTTCTGATCCATGTCACATTGGGAAGCAAAATATTTTTACTTATAAAGACCGTGATCTTCGCAGGCAAATAATAGAGGAACGACTGTTCATTGTTGGGAGTTTCTGCAGGATATGTCATTCTTATCTTCTGTTTGCTTGACTCAATCCAGATATCAACGAATGCGATGTGTTAAGAAACCCGTGTCACAGCGGACAACAGTGTCGGAATATAATCGGATCATTTCAGTGTGTCCGACAGGTTCCCTGTGGATTCGGTTACGTGTTGAATCCCAAAACACAACAGTGTGAAGGTAAGTGCAAGTAGGAAAATTTTCCGTCCATTAGGCCTGGAGTACCGTTTTTTTTTCAGATTTACCTTATTTTCTCACAGTTTAAAATTGTTAGGACCAAGCTCAATTCCCGAAATGTTGTCCAACGTTTACCATAGACGTATGGGTTAGTACGCAGCCAGAGGCTGATGATGACTGAGAAGGTAATTCGGTCGGGACTACAAAAAGTAGCTTGTTTCAGGCCACAATTTGTGCCAAACATGCTTTGCCATCTTTCGATTTCAGGTGCTTCTGTTCTGTTGAAAGGAAGGGTTATCCATTTTGGAGGAATCCTTTTTTGTCCACTCTGCCCGATTCTCAGAATGCAGATGCCTAGGTGCCTATAGATTATCACGGTTACCGGTAGACTTTTAACAGAGCAAATAATCTGGGGATTCAGGACTTATTCTTTACAAATCGTACAAACTAGTCTATCGAATTCTCCTATGAACATCCAGTGTCGTTCCCGGTGCTGATATTAATTGTTCAGGTGTTTGGTTCTAAACACAGTCTGTGTGTTCAGCAAGAAATCTATCTGAACCTCTTTTTGGCTACATCGACGGCTCACATGACAGAGCACTGCTTACGCAGTGATTGAACGCAGCTCAGACGGATAGCGGACGTCAAAATCAAGTGGAATCAAAGTTTGGGTTGCTTGACTTGCACCGCCGTTCACATTAAGCATTTGGGACGCCTTAGAACAATGTGTATGGGAATTAAGTGTTTGGAACATCTTGGGAATCGATCTAAAAACTTCGTTGTATCCTGACAATTTTTTTGGGAGTTAGAAGAATATAAGCTACCTGTTGCTCTGAATGATAAACATAATCGTAGTTGGAAGACGGAACCTTTGAAGGCCTACAGCATCATCTAACACAAGCAGGGCAGTAAGCACTTTGTAAATCATTTGATCTTTTCGTGGACACAGCGTTCATTTGATTGGTTAATCACCGCTGGTTATTTAGATATATTCATGGAAGTTAAACTAGCTTGTCACTTTCCTTTAACTAATTAATTAATGGATGCTCGAGACAAAAAAACAGTGATATTGTTCGTTCTCAAACCAACAAACAAACGAGCTTTTGGTTGAGCACCACTTACTAAAACCGCCATGCGATAATAAAATCATCGTCAGTGGCTGAAATATGTGTTAAGACACTGTGAGGCAGTTCTTCGGAGAAATATAAATAACCTAAAGAAAGGTATGTGAATTCTTGTGACTTCTCATTGGACGTGTTTTTGAACACGTTCATTCATAGACCGATCAGAGCAACTGTGCAAATTATAATGGGTAAGTAATTAAATCCACCCTATGCTACGAACTGTCGGATCAAACCTCAGCTGTACACGTTGGACGTTGCAAATAGACCGTCACTGAAATGAAACTTAGGCATCGTTTTCATCGAAGTACCTTCGCTAATGTAGTCGCCTAAGTGAAAATTTTTACAGGGTTATAGTGCGTTTTAGTAGCTTGATTTAACTGAAGCTGGTAGTATTGCAGTTTATGCTACTCATGGATAACCTCATTCGCACAAGGCTCTGGGAAAGTGAACATTCTCAAGCTTCCTCTTACACTTTCCCGGGCGTTCTTTTGAACAACAGTTATATATTATTAGACAGTGATGGCAAAGTACTGCAAAGTGATTCCATAAGTACCCTAATCACTTTCCATCAGCTGTGAGACGGATTTCGACCTTCGACCAGACACTACACTCATATTCTTTCAGTAGTACATGATTGTTAAAGAGCCTTATTAGGACTTCCGAAGAATTTTGAACAGTACACGATTATATAAATCAGATGAAGGTACAACTGAAGCTCCTTACCTCAAACGAGATGAGTCAGTGAACAGTAAACACTAGCTTTGGAAGAATACAAATCAAACTATAAATCAAGTGGTCATAATTGTTTCGAAGATGTTTTGGGTGAGGTAATTCTTTAGTTTCCTGTTGTCTGTTACTTGAGGAGTTGCCACCAATGAAGACAGTCACTCATTAAAGGCTCTAAGTATTCAACTAACTACTCGACTATGCTCGACAGTAAAAGCAGATCTAGCTGTATTTCGATTAGCGCACATCATTGCATCACCTAGACGACCTTTTAATTCGATCTGCATTACCTCTTGATTAGTCGGAGACTGGTTAGCTGCGAAACATTGATTTGCCCATGGTGATGGCAGAAATCAAGACACTGACCAAACAAATCGTAGCCGATTTGATATTTAACTAAATTTTACATTGCTATTTTAATTCAGATAAAACATGTTTAGGTTTAACGATGAACGACTGCGCCGTTTTCGGGGCCACCTGGATGTTTGCTTGTGTATGATTCATTCTACTACTTTTTCAACCGGAATTTTATTGATATTCTTTAGGATCTTAATCGGTTTTTTAGAAGACTTTCAAAAGCTTAAGTAGTTCTGGAATGCTCACCTGATGTGTTTCTTACTTCTGACAGTAGAAGCTTATAATGCCATCTCTAATAGCCATGGAAATTACACTTTTGGTGAACTTTTACCATTCTTCAGATGTTAACGAATGCAAAGCTGATCCGAACATCTGTGGTCCAGGCATGTTGTGTATCAACGTACGCGGTGGGCACAAGTGCGTTGATCAGATATGTCCGGGGAAAGCAAGGTTAGTATCTTGTTAACTTGTTCATGTTTTTCCGTTGTATTAATTTTGCCCAGATTCCGAAAGAGGTGAAATTAAGAATCAGTAGCGTTTTAATACGTTCAATCATCGACGTGACAATGAATTTCCTGCATCTGAATTGGCGAAAAATCCTGCTACATAATACTTCACCTAGCAAATTTTATGGCATGCATCAATATATTTCCGGTTTTAGTTTTTCTGTATTCCGTCTGTAGCATTCGTCTATGTTTCTTAATAAATTCCCGCAATATTCGTGGATGAAGAGTCTCAATCTAAATTTCTATAGAAGTATGGTAAGAAACTTCAGTGGGTCATCCTCTTTGCCGTCGGGAAAAACTTCTTGGATGTTATCTGAACCTTTAGGTAACTTAAGAGTGGAGACAACAGAAGTTGATCATAGCCATGGTGTAGAAGCAACTGTGTGAGTAACTCTCGTTTTCGCGACATTCAAATTTGGTTGGGTGATATTTACTTGTCATCTTGCGCGTCAGCATTAACTACCTGCATTCTTATGGTCGCCGGTGCGGACCATATTCAAGCGGATTACTGTGAATTGGTGAACTCTTCTCCACAACGCAGCCCCATTCATTACCTTAGCACTAGTGTATTCTTCCAAAAGTTTGGTCACTTATTCGTTACTTCGTTCGCCTTTTTAATACGTCAGTGAAACTAGTTAAGTCCTCATTTCAAACGCCTTAGTAATCCAATACTGCTAAATCCGGTCTGGTGAATCTGTGCTGTGTTTCCTAAACGCGAACTTTGATCACTCAACCTATGTCCATGCCACATGGATCTGACTGGTCTCGCAATTCTAAGAATGTCCCCTTCCTCTCTTCTCTTAACACTGAGTGACCTAACGGTCAACAGAGACAGATTAGTTTTGAATCAGATCTTTTGACATGGCAGATGGCAGGTCTTCGGTACGTTTACATTGATTGACGAAATCTGTTAACAGAACACAGCTTCAACAAAGATCACTTTAGGGAGTCCAAGGCCCGTTTGAATGTCTGTTCGTTCAGTGGTGTCAAATGATTTTGCAAGCAAAAGCGACACCAGCGTTCATTGCGGAATTTGTGGAGTTCAAACATTTTGTTCTGGTAAATATGGGTTTTCACCAATGCCATCACGGTGGTGGTACTCCTCTGACGTACGAAACCCGAAAATGCAATCAGCTAACCATGTTACCGTCACCGTCAAGAAAACTCACTAACTTATGCGGTTGAATGTGCTTTGGTGATCAATGACGAGTGCAGAGGAGATGACAGTATAAGCAGAGATGCAACTGAGAGGCCATTTTCAGACGCAGGTGTGTAGAGAGAGGAAAGTGGAGTAATGATGGTTAATGGAACAAACATGTATTTTTTTGTGGTTAAGAAACATATTTCGTAGGGCATGGTGGAACCAGTGGATGAATTTAGCAGGTCAGTTTCATGTGTTCGACGTGCAGTTTTAGCAGTTTTAGCAGTTCCAGCCGCTGACTGGAGCCATTAAAGATGTAACATTGTTGCGGTAGACGGAGCTGAACACCACTATCTTTACAAAACACCTGCTGGTTATCAGGATGATCAGTGATGAATGATGAAGATATAGCTTAATCAAGATTACGGCAGTAAAACCGTTTGCCCAAGCCAATGGGGAGACAAGTAAGATTTACATCACAATCAATAGAAATATAGTGTAAAGCTAGGCAGTAATATGCGCCCTGATATAATGCATTGGTCTCCATGAAATGTGGCATTCTGGGAATTATTTTAGATAAGTAACGGCTGCGAATAGATCACTTGACTAGTTGCTCTAAGATGCCATATTTCGATGCTGTCACCAGGCTCAGAGATATAAAGAAATATTTGCAAAGTCTACCATCATTTGCAGGTGCTTCACGGACAGATAGACCTATCCGCCTTATCATTTTTATCGTTTCAAGATGTTGGTCTAGTTTACTTATATTTTCAAATGTTTAGAGTCACAGTATCTATGAGGGTCTGATGACTGGTTTAAAGAGAGTTCTTCCATTCCCCTGTCAACAAGATTAGTTCTGAATGGGCATCCTTACAGCGGCTGCTGCCATCTGTAACTCACCCAGAGTTTATGTATGCTATAGGTATGACTTTAGGTACCACCTACTGATCTTGCGTGATTGTGTTCACTGAAATACTCATCAAAAACTTTGATTAGTTGCTTACTGCCATTCAAAAGCATTATACGAACGCCATTATGGGACAGAAAAATATGTGAGTTGTCTTTTTCAAATGATGAAATTTAGTATACTTTACAATTTTCGAAGAGCAGTATATGGGCATACGTTTCATCTACAAACGAAATTGCATGCAGCTGCTTGTCAGCATTGTGTACAAAACACAATTCGCTTTTACCGAAAATGACAATTCTTTCTGCTTTCAAGAAAGGCTGTACCCATAAACGAGTGAAGTTAGGAAAGTGGGAATAATTTCGAATTTGTATAAGGGAGTGCATTGAGAAGGGCAAGTATTGTGGTGAGTCTACACAGAACTGGACAAACAGTGAACTTAAGCTTCGCTCTTATTAGAATTAATTCATTCCATTGGCCTTGCCAAGGTTTGAACTCTGGTTCTAGATTACCACCTCTAATCAGGCGAGGAAAGAGGCGATTCGGGAGGCTTGTCCGATGCCCTGAACACCGATCCGGTAACTATGTTGGTTGTGTCGGTCCAGTGCCCTGCCTGTGGAGACCTCCCAATCAAGTAATGACACAGCTGCTTGCAACTGGTCGAGAAAAATAAGTCACACGCTCAAGATGGAGAGTTCTGTCTATTCTCGGTGTTTTGAACGCTCATTCGTCTATTGGAATGTCCAGTGTAAAGTCACATTCAGTACAACCTGTTTTGTAGGAATGATTGGTGCGGTCACTAGGATAAAATGAGCCAGATTCCTCTGCAATGCGTTGTCCATTCTTAAGTTGAAGAAGTTGGAACTGGAAGATAAGTGGTGGATGCTCGAAAACCGTATCATATCAGTTGGTTCAGTCATCGGCCTGGTTTGGGTAGCTGAAGGGTGCTTGCGATTAAATCTGTAGAATAATTATTGTTTCTCAGGGACCTTTTAAAATGAACGATCTATTTATCAGATGTGTTACAGCAAATGCTTTTCGTTATATGGGCTATCTTTTGATTTACTACACTATTTGTACTTAATGGATGATCAGATCTAAAATTTAGGCAGTGGGCTGAGTGTATTCTTTTTGGTGGATCGCATTTTCAAGGTAATCATGGTTCCAAGACGCCTCACAGTCATGAAGACAACCATTCACTTAGTTGTCTCATGCTTCAAGGTGAAATGAATAAATTTGTACAAGGTGAGGGGATAGGAACTTATTAACGTGACACTACTTTTTTGATAACAAGTGTATCTCTGATGTACCTCAACCAAACTTTTGAGGGATTGTCAAAGTTGCCAAATTCCGGAGATTCATGCTGTGCTATGATCAGGGTGAGTAAAAAAGAGTTGCATGTTGCCAAAGGATATCTGGACACCAACACGACAGTGTGCAGTGACAATTCAGTCTCAAGGTCAGATGTCACGCAAATCACAACAGACGTACCACTATATTAAACATTCTTTGGCTAACCACATTAATAAGGTTTTCATGTCATTCATCTGTCATCTAAAAAAGACCACTCTCGGTGGGTAACATTTTGCACTAAGGTTCAGTATTTCACTTTCAAATTGAATGGATTGTTGGATTTGTGGTCACCTGTTCAGACAAGTCCAGCTACGGTCGTTTTCCTGCCACTATAGGCAAATTAAAGATAGGGGATAGCCAATTGCAGATAAAATGCCTTTCTGTTTTAGTTGTAACTATTGAAATTTGTTATCTGCCTGAATTGTGGATATCTGCATGTGGGGTTAAAACAAATGTGTTGCAGCCATTTGCTATGAAGTTATCAAGCAAAAGTTTATATATACATATATGTATATGTACTATTGAAGTTGATGTACGGCAAAACTGCGGCACAGTTGCCCACTGTAACTGATCAATATAGGCATTCGGAATGCCGGGGACTATTAATTTCGACTTTGTTAGCCACTACAGGATTGGATCTCCAAAATACCGTTTCTGACTACTGAAGCCCTGTTCCAAGAGGGTCTTGACTAGGTATGAAGAATAGGTTTGTGAACTGATTTTTAACAGACCAACAAATCGGACCGATTTATTCGGCAGAACAAATCGGATTATTTATCTCGATCAAACATCCCAGTGATATTCGTAGTATGAATGGCTTCAACATTGCACGCGCTCAACAATACTCTGGAAAGGAGGAAGCCCACTTCCAAGAGGTTCTTGACTAGGTATGAAGAATAGGTTTGTGAACTGATTTGTAACAGACCAACAAATCGGACCGATTTATTCGGCAGAACAAATCGGATTATTTATCTCGATCAAACATCCCAGTGATATTCGTAGTATGAATGGCTTCAACATTGCACGCGCTCAACAATACTCTGGAAAGGAGGAAGCCCACACGACCTCGGAGTTAACAACTGCCAGAGATGACCTAAAGCAAGTCCGAAATATTTTCTCCTTCCAAGCCTTTGTTAGCAAAACGGCGATTGATTGGGTTGCTTACAGATTTTAAAACTATTCACGACTTGAGAAGATACTTCGTTCCCAATTATTTACAAAGTGGTAGGATGTTTGGTCGCCCCTGTGGAAGCTATTTAGCACATATCACCTATATATGTTTTTATAGGCGAGACAAACACGGGAACTGTGTACCGTGTCCACAAGGCTATGTATTCAATGTGACAACCGGATCATGTGATGGTAAGTCATCGGTCTTTCAGTGATATGACAGACGGTTTAGAACCAGCCTGTTTCCAAATTCCAATTCCTATCTGATTTTACCAGAGTTTGTTGAGTTTTTTTTTAAGAAATGCAAACGTCATACTACTGTGTGGGAAATCTGCGTGTAGTGGAGTTCACATAATGAGCCAAGATAAAACTTCTGGAATTTGTCAGTAGTATACGTCGTAGACATATGCGGAATATAATTTTTCACATTTCTTTTCAACTATTTACATTAATGTCCTATTCTTAGGCGAATCAGTGAATACCATCTGAGACCTGATTCCCTTGCACGGGTGGAAATCCTTCCTCCGTATCCTTCCGAAGTTGAACGGCTACCACATCTTTACTGACTTACTGGGAGGTGTTGGACACCATAAAACTCTTAGCCGCATTTTCGTTTTGTGTCGAATCGTGTGCGAAAAAAATTAATGTTCCTGACTTCACAACCATATTTGTTCGCAACTTAAATTCAAGGCATCTGGCAAGTTTAAGTCCATTTATCAGAATAATCTAAGGCATTGATACACACAGGACACCACCTATAATTTGCTAAAAGCTGTGTGAATGATGGCTCAGCTAAATTAAATGGCATATATATATCATTCCGAATGTCCTGTCGCTAGTTTGTCCCCTTGACTAAAGCAAAACGATTTGGTGAGAATAACTATTGCGCACAAGAAGAATATATCAAGTAATAGTGAATTACGTACATACGTATGCACTGTACGCTGGCAAACAGCATACAGATTTGACCGTCAACCAAGATTCGCTGGCGAAAAAGGGCGTCAATTTTTGGAAGCTGTATGTACACGCAGTTTGATCTTCACATAAAAGTTTACCACTGGGTAATACTTATTGCCTCTGACCTATTTTTGTCTACATTCTTAAGTAAGACACTAATTCTGAGTGCGCCTCCAGGGCGTAAACATGTGCAAAAATTCGTTAGAATTCAACAGAAATTTGCTACGTGCATAATCTAATAGACAAAACAAATAAGCAATGTATCAGGAAGGTGAGAATGACCTGGAAGAACCTAATGCTTTCCACCCTTCAGACTGCCTAAGTACTGGAGAATGCGCGAAATTACTTCGTCATAAATTTCATACTATAGTGTGATAGGGCCCAAACTGTATTCCAACCGTTATTACTATTACTATCTTTAATATATTAACAATAATACAATAATAATATTATAATATAATAATAATATAATGTAATAATAATAATAAATAATATTCATATTTCAAAATCGAACAGGGTGATGGTATCTTCAGAAATTCGTGTTCTGGATTTAAGTCAGTTCCTTCAAGCAACTGTTCAATAATGTCCTGAACAATTATTCATTTATTATTATAATTTAGAGAAAGGTAACGCGGATATGCAGTGATACAAACACCCACGTTGGAAGACGTGATAGCGTATCCAAAAGGCACTGCTAATGACACTTATTCAAAGGATTGTAGAATGCCCTGAAAATGTTTGCCCATGGTGACGGAAACGTCGGATAATAGCACCTTATTACTCTGAGTAGTGTTTTGACTTCGGAAGTTTTCATACAACGGACTGTCCCAAGTTGGTGCTGATAACCAGTCTACCTATTTCTAATTGCCACTGTAAGGTTTCAGTGAATGACCAAATATCAATCGGGTAACTCCACTCTCTTGTGGTACATTAGAAATGGTGAAACTATTTTACCAGCACAAGGTTGCTTCATCATTCCGAAGTTTTACTTTTTTGTCAGTAGATAATGACTCCATAGATGGAGTCACTTCTGCTTTTGCCCTTCTGCATGCTTTTCTAGTAGGTAAAGTAACATGATCATTAAAGGTTGATTTGACTGTTCAAACACAGAAAAAGCAAAAGTTTATTTCTGTTGAATTTCAGATGTAAATGAATGCAGTGTAAGTAACCTGTGCAAACCGTGGGAACAATGTGTGAATAAAAAAGGATATTTTGTTTGCGAGCAAAAGATGAATTGCGTCCATGGAAAAAGGGCCGATTCGAACGGGACGGAGTGTGTAGGTAAGTTTCCATTCGAATTCCAGTTTTCCTGACAAGTTGCGAGTCTGAAGAGATCTTTCATTGTGTGTTGGGACCACTGAGCACACATGAAACAGTACTAAAAAACTTCGTGATTTTTAGTGACTTGGAGTTCCGATTGTTCGCTAGCACACTGGCCCGAATGATGTCAGCTTTAAGAGGTGAATCATTAGTTTCGGACGTCTTGACTTTTTATTGATGAGGTGAAGTTTGTTCTGTAAAGAAACAATAATCCTGATCTCTCTAAGACATCTACCGTTGAACCATCTCTCCTCTTGGACAATGCAAAGAGCTACAGAATCGTCCGAGCATGACTACCGCTTCACACATTCGGATGCTCAATTACTGCTTTCTTTTCCACTTACATTTAGGAGATACCCACAGAGACGATTTGTCCTGTTTTAATGCACATGTAGGCAAAAGTGGTTCTGCAACTCACTTTTATGGAATGGGAAGAAGAACCAACGAGAAGTCATAACAGACTTCCTCGTATGACCCACGCAGTGTGCGCGCCTGCCAACTTTGTGTGTATAATCATAACATGCATCAGTGCAAAACAAATGAGGTCACTTGCGAATTCCTTACCCAAACGAACCAGATACAACCTAACCAGAAGCCAGAAATTGAATATGGGCAACTCTTTAGGCCATAAATCTTAAGGTCTGAAAACTGATATAGTTGTTTCCATGTGTTGGAACATTAACATCAGTCTCCTTCTCTCTTGGCCGCTGTGTATGCGGCTTCACTGATCGGACAGGATAAGCTCAACGTAATCCTTACCACGGTACCAATCATAATCCTGAATCATATTAATTATATTTGCTCTATAGAAGCAGCAAACATTACACCTTTAGTATTCGTCATTCACCGGTTTGAGAGATTACTGCGCTCTGAAAAGACAGACCACGCTGTTGTTTCAGTTTTTCTGGATAGGACTTTCTACCCCCCCCCCATTTATCATCTTTGCTCACAGATATTGATGAGTGCTTGGAAAAATCGTTCCACTGTGCGCTGGATGAGGTGTGCGTGAATACTGATGGCGGATATAAATGTGTTCCTTCTCCGTGTAACCCAACGCAAATGTGAGTGCGTATCAATTCGTTTTAGTTCAAAACGTAGTCACTTCTCGAACCATCATATTTTACCATTTTTAAACTTTGTTTTTGGTGATTGGTCTGTTATTGTTCTTCTCCGGCTGCTCGTTAACTGGTAACACATCGTAAGTTTACGCGTTAGCACTGGGCTTCCCATAATATCTGGGACATTTGACCCACGAAAAGTAAAAAAAGACAGCAGCCTTAGATTGGGCCAACGACAGGGCCATCTTTCAGGAATGGAAGATATTGATGAGTGCTTGGAAAAATCGTTCCACTGTGCGCTGGATGAGGTGTGCGTGAATACTGATGGCGGATATAAATGTGTTCCTTCTCCGTGTAACCCAACGCAAATGTGAGTGCGTATCAATTCGTTTTAGTTCAAAACGTAGTCACTTCTCGAACCATCATATTTTACCATTTTTAAACTTTGTTTTTGGTGATTGGTCTGTTATTGTTCTTCTCCGGCTGCTCGTTAACTGGTAACACATCGTAAGTTTACGCGTTAGCACTGGGCTTCCCATAATATCTGGGACATTTGACCCACGAAAAGTAAAAAAAGACAGCAGCCTTAGATTGGGCCAACGACAGGGCCATCTTTCAGGAATGGAAAGATTTTATCGTTCTGCCTGTCTCTAAGGCACATGTGCGTTGTAAAAAGGCACTGACATCTGACATAAGATGTGGTTTTTCCAACGTTACTCAAGGACGTTTGCAATCAAAAATATTGCAGGGAGTTGAAATACGCACCGTTGCAGTGAAACTCACTTAACCTAGACTAGTGAGCTTGACATATTTACGTACTCACACTTCACAAAAGAAAACCAGGCACAAACACACAAAGCCCTCACAATACTCGTTGCTGTTCAGGGGATAACTTCGCAGTCAGGTGTCAGGTGTCTACTATCGTATGTTTCACTCCATTGTAATCACTCTTATCGCACAATTCCATGCGGAAGCCCATAACCGTCGTAACCGAAACGTCAGAATCATTACACGTAATTCCAAATACCAGTCTTCTGTCCAATACCCCTGCATTTTAACGTTTACGTGGAGGTCAACTTATTTGATAAAATCAGGACCACTGTTGTTCCTGGTTGCCCATATGTGCGATGATGTCGTCTTAAGCCCACTGATTCCGATCAGGCAACATAAGGTTGATCAATTGTGCGCACAGAAACGTACGATAATACGTCTTACTGTTTCACATAAAATTTACGGCATTTTTTAAAACCGATCGAAAGGCATCTGTGTGCTTGGCTTTGCATCTCCCGATGACTGACCAAAATGCTTCGTTAATTCACATTGATTCTAGTGACTAATTAGATTGTCCAAGCACGGAGATTTTCTAACATGCACTGGATTTAATTGCTCTCTTTACAAGTTTCTAACGTCTATTCATTTCAGGTTATTTGACTTGAAGCTAGATACTTCTGAATATCAATTTTCAATTCGCCTTTGACTAGATTTGAAGAAAGATGCACTAGTTTTTTAATGTAATAATATAATAAAATAATAAAATAATATTTGTTTACGCCATTACAAATTTACTGGACTACCGGTTCTAATTTGTTTGAGTTCTGTGGCGATTCGAAGTTCTTGTGACTTTCACGACTTTCATGTGGCTTTCAGTTTGGAAAAATAATATCTATAGTCGAGGTTATGTTATTTTCTTCAGAGGACATCTTAGCATAGTGCAATTCTACCCTGGTGTGTCCAGTTAGTCGTCTGGGCAAAAAAAGGCATCAATCCCAGTGAGAAGCAGGCTTCGAATCGCCACCATATTCCTACGATGCGTCATACAAGGCTATCTCAAAATAGTCGCACAAGTTTTTACGTCCCACCAGGGATGACTCTGACTATGGTCAGTATTCATTCTGAGCTCAAACAGTTGAAGAAGCCTTGAGATATAATACGAGCTTGATTACGCACCATTGTGATCCGCTTACAGACTGTGGCACGGAATATAAGGTGAGACAGAATGTTCTAGCAACAGTCTTCGTGAAAATGACCACACTAAGACTATGATAGATTTATGGACGTGATTGTAACTACCACCATATTCCTAGTTCTTTCTCTAGTCTATTACGTTACCAAACAATCAACAAAACATTAGGCGCCTATTAATCCGTAGTTCGTGGCCAGTCACATTCTTGCATATATAATGGAACTACCCGGTAAAACTGAGCGTCCGCGTTACCTTTTCACTTTACACATTGACCGGAAATTACAAAGTCATCTAATAGTGACGTCACCCAGGAGAGAAAATCCGAATTCACCTTGCACACACCTGAGTAATTTTTCTCCCTTCCCGATAAATGTAATCTGGTTAGTTGATACTAAAACGTGGAAACATTGAACTGCATTTTCGCTTCTGTTGCATCACAATATCAGCGCCCATTTTTTATCGTACCACACAATTAGTGCACTTGGCCAACTCGTCACAACTAGTCCAACGGCGCACACAGTGTTGACTGATCGGAGTAATCTTGTCTGAACGGGAGAGGAACTGATGGAAATACAATTCTGCGAACATCGCAACTATTCATACAAAAAACTATAGAATGTGTAAATTAGCCGTTTCTATTTCCGGTGATAACTCTTTTAGTTATCTACCACAAAAAAATTCACATCTAACCTCCTCAGATTTGACTACGAACTGAAAAACTGCACATGTCCAAAGGGATGGAAGAACGTGAATGAAACTTGCATAGGTGGGTTTTCTATTACATTAGCAGTAATTAATTTTGTTGTGGTTGCTACTTCCTATTTCAAAACAACTTCACCCATCCCTTACTATCCACCTGGTTTTTGGGGAATTCTTTAAATAACCACCGACGCAAACTGTTCGTAAACAAGGATTTTCCTTCGGATAATAGTCTAGAAGTTTATCATACTGACGTATGGGATACTTAGTTGTCTACGAGACCTGTAATTTTTGTCATTTTATATATCATAAACTATAATTTGCAGCACGAGATGGTCTATTTCGATCACATTCGGTGGTGTGAACGCCCGCAGACAAAAATCATTTTTGAGGCTGGTGGGTGGATGAATTTTCCTAATTCACCTAAGTGCTTCTAATTCTCATATCCAGAAGCATGCAAGACAATAAGCTGCCCTGATCGCACAATGAATTTTCTTGCAGTTCGTGTATGCCGCATTTCGGAAGCATAAATCCAAATTCATTTAAAGTCGTTGGGCTAACTGTCATTCCACTGTGCTCTTGCTTTCAGCTGAGCAGCTCCGGTGATCTAGCTGCTGCTGCGGTAGGTATTGCAGAGGTCGGCATCGCTCTAAGTCATCGGGCAAAACCGTCCTTGCCTGGCTAGATAACTTCTGATGGCCACCTTTGTGTGACTCGTCTGGTGTATCAGAAACGAGAATATTGTTTGTTTATCATGTCTGCGTACGCCCCAGATGACTGTAGTTCATACCATCTAAGGCAACTTTTGTGACAAAACCGTCCTTGCCTGGTTAGATAACTTCTGATGGCCGCCTTTGTGTGACTCGTTTGGTGTATCAGAAACGAGATTATTGTTTGTTTATCATATCTGCATACGCCCCAGATGACTAGTTCATACCATCTAAGGCAACTTTTGTGAATCCTGGAGTGCCTTGGTACAGAAGGCTAAAGACATAGATACGCTTGTGATTGGTGGAGAGTTGAATATATAATTGAAGGCATCTGAGACTCAATTGGGTGGTCAACTTGAACTGAAATCGGAACATACAAACAGCTACAAACCATTGTTTGAGCTATGTGTTGACGGCAGACGCCTTCTATGCAGTATAAACCTCAAGAATAACCGAAGCGTTCTGGTTTAGTGATGCTCTTCAACGGCACGCCAGCCGTGAACTCAGAGTGACTACTTCGCACTTGTTTACTGACGGCGTGGTTGAGTAAGCGAATGTCGCCTTTTTGGAGCACTAACCATGAAGTTGTTCGGTGTCCCTTCTCTCCTTGTCTTTTTTTCGCGATGGCTGACCAGCTTGGCGACTGAGGGCATGGTATACCCCGAAGTTAAAAATCTTGCGGAAACATGTCCTGGGTTCTCTTCCATCTGCTTCACTGTCGGATGTCAATTGAACTGGACGGAGCGCACCACGTCTTTGCACAATAGCGGTACGGTACCGCACCGGCAGTCGTGTTCACGCAATGTACATCAGGCGGAACATTTGTCATGCATGAATTGCAGCGAAATTTTCTCGCAGCTCTCGAACACATTTCTACTCGGCGCATTATCAGGTCCCATTTGGTAATCAGCATACGCGCAGAATGTGGAGCCTGGTAGAGACGAAAGACTAAGGAAATCGAAGAGAACCACCAAACTCCAGATGTGAATGTTCTCACATCCACGTTGTTAAAAGACGGATGGAGATGAAGTACTGACTGTACTCAGAATGACTGTCTCAGAACCATTAGCTGTATAGTCTGCCGCAGGTGAATCCACAGAGAGACAATTAGAAAGTGTATGTTCGACTGTGCAACAGAAACAGCATTCAAAGAATGTGAAATGACTATGGTTGGCTTGCACTAAGTCCCTTCCCATCCACTTCTTTTCTTTTCTTCATAATAACGCTTGTAACTAATTTATAGTTATACGACAGGAGAGTGTCATTGCTAACTGGTAAGTTATGCTCTCGACGATGTTGAGGATCTTTTACTCGTAAATGTGCGAACGTAGGCTGGCAGCCTAAAGTGGTTTTCTGTAATGATCTGTTTGGCAAGCTCCCAAGAGTAAGGCTAGTTGAGTGCATTTGTTTGCATGCATTGACTTCGTTTGTTGGGTGAAGATTAGCAACAGCCCAACTTACTTAACCCAAGAACGTTACGGCGTTCTTTAACAAATCACAGATACTTGAATATTGGCTTCAAATGGGTAGGTAAAACTTCGCACTGGATGACGCCAGCAAAATCTAGACTATTTACCTAAAGACTTCTTTGCAACGCATCAAGTAAACATTGAAATCAATGAACAACTGTGCATTGCAGACATTAATGAGTGCGAGGAAATGGATAGCCCCTGTTCCCCTGGAGAAACATGCATCAACCGTGCTGGTAGTCACCGGTGTATCAGACTGAATGAATGCGCACCCGGATTCGAACGTCCATCACCATATTCACAGTGTCAAGGTAGGTAGCATATAATGTTGTTTCTCCGGTTTATCATTTTGTTCGTTTGAAATGATGGCTATTTTTTCTGATTTCTCGTTTTACATATTTTTGCTAAAATTTATTCAGTGTTCTTCTCTGTGCTGCCTTTCTTTCATGGTAGATAGACACGGTCATGGAAAGTGGGTTTTTGAGGGCACCACAGGGGTTGTGGAATATATGAATCGGTACCAAGCTTGAATGCTTTGTCACATCCTAAGTATGCCATTCCAAAGGCAAATTACGCTATACGCTATTCAAAAGTTCCCGGAAATCATGACGGCAATAAGAACAAATACCAATGTAGGTGGGAGCGTAAAGGGTCCTCAAATGCTACGTTGTGTCAGTCTTTGATCTGGGTTTCTGTACGGTAAGCATCCTGAGATGTTCACTACTCTAATGGGTTTGGCAAGCCTGCCTTTTCCCCTCCCATTTGGTTTTTCAAACAGTGAAGACTTTTTCATAAAGGAAACTACTCACAAGGTTGCTGAAAACTCTTCGACAGCCCACGACCGGTTTCGCACTTCTTGGGGCTCATCAGGTAGGCGCAGTCCCCGAGTTTATGTCAACCTTATGATCTACTTGAACCGTGAAGACTTTTATTAAAGGAAAGGGTTCAAATGCATGATCGTAAATACTGGCTTTTTGAAGATTCTCTTGCTGCCATTGTTAATCATGCAACCAGAATGTTTATGAACACAAATTTTTAAGTACAATTAGGATCCTTCCTTCGCGCGGGTAAAAGTTGTGGTTAAAATACGGTCCAACTCCTCTAACCACGAGTTCAGTAAATAACTCTCGTGCACCGATTCAAGGTACATTCCGATGATATCATTCTCTGCTTCACGGTCCTCAAAACGGTTATGTCCGTATGATTCAGACTTAAAACCTTGCAATACTATCTGTTTTAATTATAAAACCAACATTGCCACCTATATTTTTCCCGACGCTAGCACTATTGATGGGGCATGCAAGTAGTGTGTTTTCACGTAAATCCGCTTCGAATCTCTTGAAAAGTGAGATCTATTACGGAATTTGTAGAATCGAACTTGCCTGCACCCAAGCAATAATCAATGAGTATTTAGGGAAAGTTCGGAAAGACACGTTCAAGGATATGGATATTCAGTTTGTGTAAACAAGATGTAAATGAGAGATTTGCTTTCCTGTCCAATAGCCCGTAACTGTTCACTTGGCGTTTCCTAATAAGTAACTCCGCAGTGAACGCCTTCCTCCTCTAATTAGTACTATCGCTGATATCAATGTGTGTTCAAGCTATACATAGCATCTGATATATCAGATAGTCGTCGGTTTATTTACTTCACTGCAAGTTGAGTTACCAACGTCATAGCTGTTATAATCTAACGTACTGTTTCTTTCAGGTTCAGTTTTTTTCACGTTCCATCGAAAGATGTTACGAATGCTACCAAACATTTCTCAAAACCTGACTGTCCGAATAATTATTGACTTAGCATTGAACAACAATCGTATGTATTAGTCACATACTGAACTGTCAGGTAGCAGTAAAAAAATACCTAATGAAAAATGGGATTGACATGAAGCCCTTGTGATGGACTTAATCAACACTGCGGAAAAGCCATCAGCTGTCATCGATTCATAAGTTTACCGAAAAAACGCACGGTAGGGTTTAGGTTTATGTGCACGTTGGCACCAATCTAACGGATTATTTTCGGAGTCCCCCGAACTTTGGAGATCATGTTTATGGCCGCAGAACTAATCGTTCAAATTTCTCGGTATCTTTTGAAGGGGGATTTTGCGTATGGTAGTTTTCGATAAAGCTATTCTGATTTCGGAGAGGCGACTTGGCCAGATTCGATCACAGTTTTATAAATAACCGTGTTGGAAGCACAAGAGTTAACTACGGATGATACCTAAATAGAGAAGATCCAGCTAAATAAGGTCGAACTTTTGCTCAAAGAAGTCAGTCACAGCTGGGTTACTTGGTTAACCCAGTTAACTTAGGTAGCGGAATCTCGTTTCTATCAGACACTGTCTGATTCACTCATAAGTTTACACAATTTCTTACTGAACAAGTTGGCTGATTCATTTCTAGTTGTCCTGACTCTCTCGTCCGATATCCAAGTGACGCTACACTGTGATCAACATTCTACTCTTTCGTATAGTTCAACGCCAGCGAGGGATGCTTGGTTGTGCAGTAGTTTTTTCTGGAAACCTGGGCTACAAGATAATTGTCACCGTGTATTCGTATTCCCACGCAACCCGTAGACTTCCATAACTAGCCAACTCATGTAGCTGTTTACAAACATCTAGTCGGGTATGCCACTCTGTTTCTCTCTTCAGATATTGATGAATGCGCGCTAGGAATCGCCAAATGTGGGGATAATATGAACTGTGTCAACACAGCCGGTTCCTATATGTGCATGTGCAAACAGGGCTTTAAGAACCTTGATGACCAAACCTGTGTCGGTAAGCATTTTAATTTATGCATTTTGTTTGGCCTACATGCACGACTTTCCTCATGTCGTATTTCCTACTGGCATTAGTCATCTATTCATTTGCAGTCGGTGAACAAAAACTAAATATCGAATTTCGACCAACTGGTTCTGTTGAAAAAAAGGTATCACCTCACTCCGTCGAGTCACTTTTTCAAAATCTGTTCTTTACCATTACTTCTTAATCTTTCGACAGTCCATAGTTCTTCTCAGTTACAAATGTCTAGCGGATCGACATACCGAAATAAATAAAAAAACTATCGCGAATGCTTCAATTATCTGCACAGTTCACGAGAATCTTCATGGATATCAGAACATGACCGGTGTGTAAGCCAGATAAGAAACTCGGATATGGCGCCGGCAGTATTCGGGTATTTTGGAATTGGAGTCCAGTTTCATGTGCATGACCTGGAAAAGCACCTGCGATAGCCAAATAATGGGGAAAGATTTCACGAAAATAATGTCACTCTTCCAGTGCCTGAATTTTTTTCTCATTGTGTGTAATTTAGTTGCTGTTCATATGCTAAAGGTGATTCTGACGAAGAGGCAATGTTTCATTGTAGCTGCACCATTGGTAGTCTTAAAGCTGCCCGAAATTTATTGGCATTTGGTCATCATAATTATTTGTCAATGCACGGAGAATATAAATAGCAAGCCTCTTGAAACGAACAGCTCCGCTGAGGAAGTAATCAGCAAATTTAGAGGACCCTCGGAGGGAAAATCAACGAGTTTCTATAAAGTCAATGAGTAATTTGGAGCTAGCGTTTGCTTAACAGAACAAAACAAATACCCACTTTGGATATCAGGCAGACCACAGATCATTTTGAGCAGTTTGCAGCTTCGAATAAAATAAAGAAGGCTTATGTTGAAAGCCATACAGAAATGTTGTAAGAGAGAAGTAGAGTAACGGACCTCGTACTCATTCCCCCTAATATATATATATATATATAATGTGTGTGTGGTTTATAGAGTAATTGCAAGAGCTTCGAAGCTGCAAACTGCTCAAAATGATCTGTGGTCTCGCACTTAGTCAAAAACCAGCTTTTGTGGGAGGCTGACTGCACTGGCCCATCGACAACTGCATAATTTCCATCAAACTAGGTTGGGATTTCATGGTGGTAAGAATGATGTGTGATTCAGAAAAGTTCCTGAGTAAAAACTATGATCATAGTTGAACCACATATTGTGTATCATTCAATCGCGACCCTTTTAGTTTGCGCATTGTGTTCAGCTTGTAAGAAGACGCTGTCTGTGTTTTGAAGCGAACTAGGCGAATTTGGGTGGTACTTACCACCGACAAAACTCCGCTTTCAGTTTCACGTCACATACAATAATACTTATCACCCAATAAATTGGATTATGATAAATAGTGGTGATACACCCACACTGGACTTGGAATACTAAATACCATCTACTTGCACGTGACTCAGCCATATTTAGTCATTTATTCGTTTGTTTGTTTGTTTATTTTCTCTCATTTTCTCTTTCAGACCTTGATGAGTGTCTCTTGTTTGGAGCAGACTCCGTGTGTCCGGACCCGCGAGCGCGATGTGTGAATACAAATGGCAGCCACATTTGTTTGTGTCCAGAAGGATACACATGGCATAGCTATCCTGCTAATAAATGTGTCGGTATGTATTTGCGTCACCCCAAAACGTAGCGTTTTTACGTAAGACCGTCAGTGTGGATATGGAGGATCAATGTGTAAACTAGGTTTTAACTATAACGACGTGTAAGATGCGTTGAATACGGTTCACTTAGGTGAAGGTCCTTAGGACAGACTCCGCTGATCCATAGAATGACATCGTAACACACCGTGCACACACAGGACCCGCACACATTTAATGTTCCCGAGGCCTACTGATATGGACGCATAGGAGAGAACTTATGAAATTAAATGGAGGTTAAAGTACAAAAGTTCTACGCATTCTTCCGAAGTGGGCAAAAATGGCACATTTTAACAATGGACTCGGCGCACTGTGTAGTATGCTGATTTCCACATTTGGAATGGCTTTGCTATTCTTCCAGCATCCAGTTTGGGGGTAATGGTCTAGGTGAATACCATTTAATGGGACATTTAACTCAGGCAGCATGCGTTAACAATTTGAATCTTCTGAGTAAATAAGAATGGAAAGAGAAGACTGGCACTTGTGACCTAAATACTGTTTTCCATAATCTGTAGGTATAGAACAATATTTATGTGCAGCTAAACCTATGCGGTTTCGAAATAACCCTCAGGCATTTTGGACCTTAGTGCAGGATTTAAACAAGCATTCATTATTGATTCAAGGAAATTCGATTGACTTGGTCGTCTACCTCGTACTAAAAGGTGGAATGATGAGCATTCTGCCCTGTGTCCTGTGTCTGATACATGCCTGACGACAGCTGACGGGACTCTGGATTCAAGTAGAGCTCTTGGAGTCAGCTGACTATGTCTCACGGTCGTCGATTTTCACCCCAATTGTTGTGATAATTATGCAACAGTGTATTCTAGCTGCGACTCGATGCGGTCCCCTCGGTTCCGAATAGGACTAGCAAGTGAAAATACATTGATTTAGCAGGCCTGTAGACGCTCGCATTTGCAGTGAAGTCAATGTAACCGAAACGTACACTACTGAGGTTACTTTTAAGAACCATGCGTTTGTTCTAAGCAAATTAAGATTACGTTTATAACGGCTTATATTTTCTCACAGGAACTTAAAATGAACCAAGAGCAACCGAAGTGGTTTCTCGAAAAACTGCCCAGTTTATACCAGAAGAATGGCAGCTCCCACCGTAGAATTGTACCATAATGAAACCTGACACCTTGGTGCCAGGTGGAGTAATAAGAATCCCCAACGTTTTTTCGCTGATTTAGGGACGCTCAACACTCGCAACCTCCATATGAGTGCTTGAATATCAGTTTACCTGTAATTGAGTAGATATCCATCTCATTTAGTTCTAGCATTTTCAAAGGTTTTGTTTGGTTTTATGACTCTGTGACTCTCAACTAAAAACAAAAGATAGTCTATAAATACCTTTTCTCCAAGTTGCTTCTAAGAGTTTATCGATTTCGGTCGTAATAGGAAAGTGATCAGTTTATGGAGGAGGTGGATACTCAAACACAAGCAAGTGCCAAAAAGCTCATTATTTCAGTAAAGGTGCGGCAACATGAACAGTGGCTATTTAAATGGAGTATTACCAGAAACTGCTACTGAAGGTATGCGTGCCTTCTGTCACTTTTCATGGTTAAAACTTTACTACTTGCGGCAAAGTCAGTAAGACAGATACTCACGTAATAATCTTGTAAAAGTCCGAGTAAGATTCGGTCACTATGGGTGATTTCTTTTTGACGGGAAACCGAAGGCTAAAGCCGTTCATCCTTCAACTATCAAAGAAATGAGCTAAAATACTAGACTGCTAGTACTTTTTAAGTGGTCTGCTTCACGCGTGCCCATGAGAATTGGTACGGAAAGTTATGCGCCAATAGTTCATGATCTACTGATTGCGGATGACAGGAATCAATACAAGGACAAACTCCTCTGAAGAATCACTGTCTTTTAAACAGGAGTGTCAGGGTTGTCTAAAGATTATAATTTGAGTTTTCTTTATAACACACTGTTTCACTATATTTCGCATTGAACTGGTGTAAAAAGTTTTTTACAAATCCCTGATTGCGATTGTGTGAGCTGTAACAGAAAGCTCCATCTTCCCCTCGGTATACCAAATAGAACAACTGAGTTACGCACTGAATCATAATTGAAGATGCATTGTCTTTCTGTTCATAATGCATGAAAGCAGATATATCTAGTATGGTCACGGATCATGTTCTGCAAGGTTATCTAGCCAAATGTTTGCGCAAGCATGTGCGCATGCGCATGTGTGGGACCAGTAAATAGTAGTACACAGAATTATGAGGATGACCAGCCTATGGCAAACGTTCTTAGGTAGACCTGGACAGGAAACACCAGCATCTACTATAGCTAACGGGGATAGCCAATTTAGGGGCACATGAAGGAAACAACGACCACTGGAGCAACCACGATGGTAGTTTTCATATGACATGATGAATGACGGTCACCGTAAATGTGGTGGAGGAAACTGCCATGAAATGTGACCATCTACGCAGAATAGAACGGTTCACTGGCATTCACAGCAGACACTAATATCTGTTATCCGTCAAACCCGGGGGTAGAAAACCGAAGGCATCGCCTACCGCAAAGTGCTCTTGCTTTCTGCTGAATAAAACATGACTCGCAGGAACGAAAAATCGTTCAGATTGACTAAATAACTTAGAAAACTCCACACCGAGTACATCCTTTAATACAAGCATTCGCCCAAATGACTGAGGTAAACTACTTCAAGTTCACGTAATGAGAGTAATGGAACCAACCTGCGCTTAATACTAATTGGATCACGAAATATAAGAATAATAATTCAGCTGCAATGCTACAAACCACCAAGTTGGCATCACAAATAGGAATAAGTAGCAACAGAACAGTTGAATAGAGCCGGTCATGTCACTGGCCAATCACGTCCGGTTCTGAAGTTCAGAGCAGAATTTAGGGATTCCGTCAAGCCAGAGCGTTAATGAATAATCAGCATAGCCTCACTAACACTTTCGAGTTGACATTGCAGAGTGAAACTGTACCGGGGCCATATCTGTGTCCGGTGATTACAGCGTGTTCAGCGATCGATGAGGCAGGCTTTTCTAGTCTCAGCTTGCACGCTGTCAATTGATCGACCAGTCAACTTACTCATATAAAGAAACAGATGTTCTGAGACGCGTTCTGGGACGCCCCTATCTGTTCTGCCAATGCATATTTCGCCGCAGCTTAACCTGTCTTCGTACACAACGTGTGAGACAGAGAGACTAGGTAAAATACGCAGTGTGCATCGAAGACGACATCTAAACAATCGTCAACCTAAGACTGTGTATCTTAGTATGCTGTATCTGCGGTGGTGCTAGAACTGACTGACTGAGACTGCCACAGTTTTGATGAACCTAATCAGCTACATGAATCTGGCCTTAGTTTAGTGAGGTTCACTTTTCACTCAGATAAATTCATCGTGTGTTTTGAGCATTTAACCCCCCCCCCCGCTTGTACTCTTGTTTCTGAACACATCAAAGTGCTCTCAGGTTGCTCCACCTGTTGCGTTGCGGCAACTAACATGCTTTGGATTCTTTATTGCGGTGATGCGGCATGTAAATCCCAAAAAGTCAGCCAGCTGTATAATGTTTCACATATTAGTGCGACGCCAACATTCCTCTATAACCACTAATCACGGATACGCCGATTGGATGGGGCTGATTGGGGAGCCATTTCGCATAATTATGGCGATCCTCTGGTAAAGCCACTCATTTACTAGTTTTGCTGCTATTCGTAATCACTGTGGGATCTCCTTACTCAGCTATGCTGCTGAGCAAATAAGTTTGCCATTGACAGTTACAGTTGAATGAAACACGCTACACGGGCAGGACACAAGCGATTGTTATTCCACATACTTGGTATAACTGACGCGAGCGGGACATGTTAACGAATGCCCCACAATGATCGGCCTAATGTTCGCACATTTTGTTTAAACTTCCGTGAAGGAAAATAAGGTGCCGCAGGATTGATCAGTGACAACTTACTCTGTGGTTCGAGGACCCAGTGGTACTGCCTCGTACCAAAAGAGTGAGCTAAGCACACAAAACAGTTCAAAAAAATCTCATTTATTTCCAATCGTCCACGTGCTTTGCACAGCAATTCCTTCAGTGCGGTAATCCAGAACCAGCTTACCCATGATCAATCTTAGAGCAACCGAAAGAATCCGGGTGGAAGGTTCATGATGGACAACGAAATTTAGACTAGCAAACCTTATCGACGATCACATCCATTGTTCTTATACCTCCGTAAATATGGTGAACAGTTAGTGAAGTATTCATTGATCCGTCCTACCAGCCTTTGTGATGTCCGACTACAAATGCAAATAGGTTCCAAAGATTGAATGCTTCGCCTGCACCACCAGGTGGCAAAGATTCCTTTTTCCATCATCTTCTCCGTCCTGAGAAATAGTTGTTTGTATTCACATAAAAACTGGTGGTTATTTTATCCACAGCACTGGAGCACAAGCAAATCAAGACCCAGCGAACACAAAAGTGGTTGGAATACTGAGTGGCACCCAATTTTCTTTGACTCACTTAGATACACCTCTTCTTTGACTGACCCATCCTGTTTACTGACGAAGGAAAACTTGAGTTGCAGTTGTCGTTGTCACTGTAACCTTTGTAAACTTTGGTCATGAGCATGACCTTTGATCACCTCTAAGCTGAAGTTGTATTTATTGGTTACTTCACTGACAGTGACGTGCACATCTTGATATGCTTTGTTCATCTCAGGTATGTGCGAAGCACACCAGTTGATTTAGATAATGTCGCTTTGACCAGAACTGACACCAACCAAGTGCATCCAGGTCTGCAACTAAGTTGGGCTGTTTGTCCGAACTTAGCACTAACCCTTACAGCCCATACAGCACTTGCACCCGCCCGTAGGTCTCACACCCACATAAAATAGCTGAGATAGAGGCCTGTGCTTACGAAAGCAGTCACATGTGCGTACGATGTGAACGTGACTTCTGCAATTCCCCCGAATACCTACAATTAATCAAGTTTCAGGCGTCTGTAGCGCTATCTGACTGGGAGGTTCTGATGGGTGGGGCAATCGATTAATGTGACCAGCGTACCTAATTGGTGGGCTTTCGAGCCTCTGGGTGAGCCAGTCAGGAATATCGCTCAAGCGTGGGAACGTAAACCCGTTCAGACTCGATTACTCATGTGTGCGTTGGGTGAATCGTGGAAACACTCGAACCTCCCATTTCAGATTTCCCGCGTTAAAGCCTCGGCACGACCAACCATGTGCACTGTATGGGTTCTAAAACGAAAGGAAATCTACACCAGGGAGTCCCATTCTTCTCTCGTTTGGTGTAGACTCCTTAAGATAAGTTCGATCGCTTGATTGCTTAACTGAGCATGAATGTGAAGTTTACAGATCCCGGAGCCACATACAACATGCTAGTGTTCACTATCTGCTGACTGCACTTCGGTCACTCATGGTCTCCATTTTGGCCAGCTGAAATATCAGCCAGTTCATGTGAACGGTCGAACAGCACCTAAACCACTTGTTCAAATGGAATTCAGGAGACTAATACTCGTTTATATGCACCCTGCTCCAGCTACCGTGGGTGTGCAAACACAGGGCGATAGTTTTATAAGCCATTGCTCTATAATGATCGTCAAAAAAATGAGGTCAAGTGGCGTAAAAATTTGCTATCAGGTTTCAAAGAGGGAAGTGATGAAAGCCGTTGAACACGCTGAGGCACATGAGACAGTGGGTTGTTGGACTAGACATGGAGCATATTTACCGTCAAATCTCTTTCGACCGTTTGCAAACACCTCAGTAAACTGATTTCGTCACCGAAACTAGGCACAGATATTTTAGCCACCTAATGTAGGGAACTTACGGAATTTGCTATTCCCTTCATACTTCTGGGGCTTTCTTCAGAAATTTCAATTAAAATCTACCATAGGTGGGTCAGCTGAATGTGCTAAGCATTTAACAGATGGCTACCGTATGCAGATCTGTGCACGCCCTGTAAGCTTCTGATAGCATGGAAGAATAATCGGTACGAAATACCGAACTGTTAGGCTAAACGATATATTGCGGATACCGTTCGTTAGGTTTCAAAGATGAGCCTTATTTCACGTACCTGAGCCATTGATGCTACATTAATGAGCTGAACTGGGTGCACGGGAACGAGCCACAATTCTTACTGAATTGCGTACACCGTCTCATTTGAGCAAAAAGCACACGCTTTCATGTGTCAAACCACTCGGTGGGCTAAATCCTAAATTATCAGAAAAGTCATGCATCAAATATTATTCACCAGAAATCAGGCGGGCAATTTAAAGAACAGGTATTCTCATAGGGGAAACTTATCATAAGGTTACTGAAAACTCATTGACAGCCCAGGATAGGTTTTGCTCTGCTTGTGTGTGGTTTTCTTTATGAAAATATACTACGATATCTCGAATATTGTACCAGTGGAAAAATGATGCGGCCTTTCTTAGCACATTCAGTTATTGATTTTTCTAGGCATTTAGACCGTATTCAATAATGCACAAACGGACACGGTCAATAGTTGGGCGTCGGAATGTGCGGTTTTTAGAACCCACCTCTTTAAATCCGCACTTATTTGGGAAGGCACCATCACAGCTTCCGTAAATTTAAAGAAGCCAGTTACCCGTTGGAAACTCAGTACCAGCAGACAATACGACTTTACAGCTAGAGTGCTCTCTAACACGATTTCTCGCAGTACGAGGTTTAGCTGTTCTCCTTTAAACGTCTCTGTGGTCCTAACGGCCAGTTTGAACTCTAAGGATTTATGTTCAATTCACTATAGCCCACGGGATAACTGCAGCACTGAAACCGGAGCTCCAACCCAAGGTGACAGTTTTAGGTCAGGATATATCTGTATGCATATATATGAAACTAACTCAGGCCCATAAAACTAGTAACGAGGTTTGATATAAGTTGTTACTTGGTTCTGTGGCTGTTAACCGTAATTCGCACAGACAAACGCCTCTTTAAAATGTTTCACACGTAAATGGACGCCAGACATCAAGCGTAGTGCCTCGGTAGTCCAATGGTCAGTGTTGCGGACTCGAGTTTAGAACCTTGCATGGATATCTACAGATTAGCTTTCGTCTCCTGCCCTTAAGATTTTTCCATCGACAAAAACGTAAAATCATGCCTTAATAAACCCCACACTACAGGCAGTGAAAGTGCAGCTGAAAACTGAAACTCACACTGGACCATTCCCTCGTATAGGTTTCGGCCAGACCGTAAATAATACTATAACTCTTTTCTCCATATAACTCTAATTGTCCATCTCGGTGGATCATCATCCATTTATATGTGGTTATGGTGATAACATGAGTTATGTGCACACCACCCGTATGAGGCCAAGTCATTCCAGACATCAAAAATGGTATAAGAGAAAGCCCCGAAAACAGCTGAGAAACACGGCCTGGCTTATTCAAGGCCAAAATTGAAGACCGACATGGGGCCTAGTGTTTCTTCTTTGGTGTTCCCACCCAACTGCTACCTACAGAAGCATAAATGTTTGACTACTGGGAAGCCGTCAGTAGTACAAAAAAGTGAAAATTACTATGACTTGGAACCATGCCAGAAACAATGGCGTGTTGATATCAGCTGTGGGTCACTAGTAGCCTAACACCATTCTTTTCTCTCACTAACTCTAACTTGCAAAGAAAAGTGTGCCACATTGGCAGGACTGAGATAGGATCGTAATCTTTTGGTTCAACCACAAAAAACGCAACAAAACGGTTACCGTTGTAGAACCTTGAGTTGCTGGCTTGAAAACTGTGGCGATAACAAATTCGCACAAATTTACATCGGTAAAGCTAATTGTGCGTGCAATAAGCTCGCCGAAACATCCCATATAATGTCTTTAAGGCATCTTCCCATGCCTTTATCACTTCAATTTAACTTGAATGCATCTCTCTGTGGCGTCAGCATACCTTCGAGCAATCGAAGAGTTACTGATTCCTAGTATATGAATGTCCATAAAGTAAATTTACACAAAGTAAATTACGCTACCAGTCTCATGAAGCTTACTGATGGGCTTCCAAAACAAGTCTATCTAAAGCTCAACTGTTCAGGACTCGAAGGTTATTTCTGTGTCAGAAGATAGTTGCCCGTTGATTGGTTATTTCACCGAGAAAACTGTTTAGAAGCACTCCTATTTTAGCTATTTCCAGGAATTCGGACAACTCTCACTTATTTTTACCGTAAAAGACAGTCTAATCAAAATGCCTCCCTTCTAATAAATAGTAGCTCCTTCCAAATTTATTCAAAACCGCTTGCTTTGTGGAACTGACATTTAACAGTTGACTGAATTCCAGTCCGAAATATCCGCATTCATGTAAACATGACATTTCTCTTTTCTTCTAATCAATCCACCCACCTAACTTCAGACATTGACGAATGCGCACAGCAGCAAGACAGATGTGGCAAAGAGCACCAGTGTGTGAACTTGGAAGGCAGCTACAAGTGCATCTGCGCAGTAGGCTATCAAACTGGGGAGAATCACAAAAGCTGCGTAGGTAAGTCTCATCCCCACATTGTTTTGGGAAAGTGATTCACCAAGACCGTTAAGTTTTCAAATGCTGACGAGTGGATGTAGAATAAACATAAAAAGAACCCATGAAAAGTACCCCGAAGATTTACCATCGTTTCCACGTGAACTCGGAGTTTCATGCGGGTCAATTCTCTTAAATTTCAGTTAGTTTGATTGATTCTTGTACAACGGAAAGCGATGGGTGAAAATCTACTGGCGAAAAGAGATTATGGCAATAAATAGTGGCATGTATTCGTTGCAGTACGTTCATCAACATTACACATAAACATCAGGGCAGTATACCGTGTACATTAGCGTGCCATTGAGTGAACACCCAACAAACTGCAAGTGGAAATATGGTCAAAGATACCCAGGAAGTTGAAGCTGTCATCATTGCTGGTTTCTACATAGCGCATATTCCATTTTTGAAGTTTCGACCTGTTGATTTTGGACGATTTTGCATGCAAACTTGCTGGATCGACGCTTAGCAAGTTCGAAATAAAACTGGCGTGCCCCATTCTAGCGAACAATGGAACAACACTAGGCAGAGTTTACAATCCACCCGTGAAGTTACCACATGGTAGTAGATTAGGTGACCAGAATCTAAAGACCACACTATTAATGGTTTTGTGTTTGTTTGTTAATGGGGCCATTTTGGTCGTGAGCCGTGTGATTTATGTGCGATATCAGCAAACGATGACCTCGACGAACAATGATTCGTCACTGTTTGAGTGTGTGTTGGCGTGAGCGGGGTGAGAATCGATTGAGGAAACGGTGTGACCTGAGGCGTGAAATGTTCACAGAAACTTGGCAACTGACAGCAGTGCAAACCGAGCGAATAAAGGCATGCCGACCTGGTCGTAAAAATGTTGAACCGATTCTACTAGGGCAAGCAAAAAAGTAAACCAAAATATTTATTTCTGAGAGCTGAAAAGGTGTCTTTTCAAACACACGCGCAGAGTCCATCCGCTTATTTTGTAAAGGACCATTCAAAATGCAACGCATCTGTCGTTTTTAGCTCAGCGTCCACCTATTTTTCGATGATCAGTTCATTGAGGGGCAGTCGAAACGTTTCCATAAACATCCGCTTGTTGTGCCCATTACAAAATTTTCGCACGTGGCAGCAGAACTTTACCACCTTGCTATTCCAAGGAAATGGATCCACTCAACAGCCTTTAGTAAGAAAGCAACAGATGAGTACAAATACCAGTCCCCACTTCAGACTACTGTTTCAGAAATAATCAAGACGTGTAAAATTTAGCCCACTAACAAAATATGTCAGCGTACTCCGAGAAGTGACGGTGTTTTACAGCGGGGAAACGTTCTAAGAGGTGTAGGGGACTGGCTACGGAGATAACCAAAAGTTAAAAGAAGCATGGTACGTTAACAATCACTGACGTACTAAAGAGAAGATTGTAACTTTCGTCGTGTTGCCAAAAGGTTTCAAGGTTTTGCACGCGAATCACTGGGGAAAAAGCGTAGAAATGGTATGTGGGACATGGAAATAGTATGGACTTCAGGTGGTTTGAAAAACAGTAATGTAACGAAGCAATATCTTGATGACTACGAGCACAAAGTTAGACGAACTTTTCTAACGTTGTGGGAGAAAGTTTTTATAAATGAGTGTATTCCTCAAAAACAGTCCAATTCGGGTTCAAGTAGAAAATAAGGTTGACGGAAACTCGGGGACTGCGCCTACCTGATGAGCCCCAAAAAGGGCGAAACCGGTTGTGGGCTGTCGAAGAGTTTTCAGCAACCTTGTGAGGAGCTTCCTGTTTATAAACCACTTTTTGTCTGAATACCGAGTCGTAATTTAATGCTCTTGGGATTACTCCAAAAGAAATCTTGCAAAGTGGCGTTTTTCACTGAAAAGTATGAGGCAGCCCCGCCCGCCACTCAGAAATCAAGTTCATTTCCTTCGGAGATAAATCACCACCATCTGAGACCAATGTTTCCTTCTCTACCGGTAGCCTTCTTACTTTTTTACTGTGTCAGCAGAGTGCATGACATTGACGTGATTAACAAATTTTCACTAAACTACATGCTTTTGTGCACGGAACTGATTAGGCAGGCAACTTCAGTCATGTCTGCAAAGTACAGAGTTGCTGGAAGCAATCATGCGTGTTTGACCTTCAATGATGACAGTTCCACTCATCAGATGGAGTTTGAAGCGTACTACAAATCGATCTAGCCTCCGAAAGCTCGCAAGTGCTGTCATCTCTACCAGTGTTCAAAATGGTGTCGACTCATGGCCAGTGAACGTGATAATCATATTTTGTGAGCTCGCGATAACTCCCTCTGCTGTACGAGTGGCGTTATCCATTTTATGATGAGCTGGTTTGTGGCCAGTCCACTGCGATATCCCAGGGGTATTGGCATTGGAACTAAGACATTGTAGGCGGACAACTATCCGATAATTCTCTACGCATGCCTAGGCACATACTGAAATAGGCACTTCCCCCTGTTTGGTAGTGCTTGACTTAGTCATAAAAACGGTTACCTCACCCTATGAAATAAGAGACTCACCTAGCGTCTAAAAACAACCTTGATGTCTAGACGTAATTCACTGCTCATAAGGTTGCTGAAAATTCTTCGACAGCCCACGAACGGTTTCGCCCTTCTTGAGTAGGTGACACCACGCGTTTCCGTCAACCTTATGTTTTACTTGTAACCTTGATGTCTCATGAGTGGACGTGAACCTATTTTCGCACCTACGGTTCCCCTAAAATTAGTTCCATCACTGCAGAACAGTTTGTAAACTAAAAAACCTTTGAGCTGTTGCAACCTTCGAGTGCCTAGCTGCCATGCCATCCGAGGGAATTGTTGCAACCTTCCAGTGCCTAGCTGCCATGCCATCCGAGGGAAGCACGATGGCTGCGATACTGCCACGTTGATCAAGTCTAGACAGGGGAAGTCGAGAGGCAGAGGTCGGATTCGAACCGCGGACCTTCCCGTCAGTAAATTCGCGGTTTAACCACTTGAGCCATCTTGCCCTAGTTTGTAAACTACCAGAGTAGACAACGCGAACAGATAAACCTCGGAAAACATTAGCTTGTTTAAAATAGAGAATAGTGCGTTTCAGTAGGTTGCTTTGAAATGCGTTTAACCTACCAATGGACTGAACTTTTGCCTATTTTTAACGGTTAGTAACATGTCGGTGCGTCTTTACTTCAAAGGACTTACTTTCAATTTTAATTTAATTTTCAGAGGACAGTTGCATGCACGCTATTTGTGGTGTTTTCTGGGAAAACCAGATAATTTTACTAGTTGTGTTGACCGCAAGTTAACACCCTTCGCATCGTCCCAACGCTCCACAAGTCTGTGATAACCTAATCAAAAGTTTCTGACTTCTACCCGAGTCTGCGCGACTAAAACATACATATGGTTACATGCCAATTACGCTGTATTCTCACTTGGAAATAAAGAGGCCCCAACAGCGCAGCTGCGCTTTCTTCAGCTGTACAGCTGAAACCTTATCACACACCAAACAATTCAAAAATAGTACAGGAATCAGCTAGTTGTCAAAGACTGGGAAATCGGAACTAGCGTATGATGGACATGTTTACTGGGTTTGGAGCTCATCAGCTTGCTTTAAAACGCCTGACCAAAATAAAAGAAATAAAGAACCAATCCTACCGGAGACTGACCGTGATTTGTGTATAGTAGGAAACGTCTCCTTAGCTGACGTATGTACTCCAAGGATTCATATTGATTTTAGAACATTTTTCATTGTTAGGAGGGCGCCTGATCGATCGGCCATATGTGGCTGTCCCTCCAAGGAAGACATCTTTCAAATTAATGATCATACAGAAGCTCTTGCTGGACATTTGCAGGTTTAACTGCACCTTCAGTTTGGTTACCACCGGACACCTTGCACCAAATGAATGACGGTTAAAAATAGTGCTCATCGAGAGCCTTTTTCAATCAAGTATGATTAAGTGTGTCTTGCCCTGGTGTGCACCACAGTCAGGACAGTTAGGGCATTGAACATCGATCACATTCATTGCTATTTTCATCGCTATTTTCAGGAGTTTCTGTTGAACTTAACGAAATCAAATGAATGTCTGCCCAGTGCATATGCGGCTGGAAGAACCTTAAATTCTCATATGATTGTTTCACCAACATACAGCAAAGTTGAGCCGCGCAGCTAAATTCCTTCGTTACCAAGATTAATCAATGTAATATCTGTTTCACATGTCTGAAAATGGATTTTAATGTCATCAACGTCAAGAAGCATTTTCAGTTGACGTTTTAATGCATCTAACACCGCTCGGCGTGGTTCACACGGAGTATAATCATTCCTTTCGGTTTTACCCACAATTAAGCAGACCTCGCATCAGTAGAACAACTTTTCGCCTCACGTCTATTGGCAACTAGGTTATTAACTTACCCAGATCAATAGCCAGTTATTTGGCATCGAAAACCATTGATTATTCCCTTGGACGGCAACGAAAAAATTGTCGGTTGCGTTCAATATTGCCAGGCAACTTGGAAACGGTTTTGTTGTCACTAAAAATTCAGTTTCCCAATATCCATATGGTTTCCTAGGTTGCTCAATGCACGAATAAGTCTAAAAATGTCATAAATGTGTAAAGCTAATTACCATAAATTCGTTCATTTAACCAGACAGTGGTTTGAGGAGATTTGAAAATCTAAGCACATTTAATCCTGCGATTGAAGCCAATCTAGGCTGAAAAGTATGAAAGCACTGTGCAGATCTCTCATTCTTATTGGGAATTACCATCGGCGTGCATCTCGTGAAAATTTAGATAGTCGCTTATTCAAGTTATTAGGATATTTTTGTTAGATATAGGTTAGATACCAAAATCAGTGGCCGAAATCTAAATGTACAATCTTAGTGAGTATGTAATCTTCCGAGGATTTCTAATGCATTCCATGGCGATGGCTGCGAGTGACAATTTTTACGCTTATCTTTATATGTTCAGCCACAAGCTTCTTCATCACAAACATCAGTCGCTTTGTAAA